CGCCGCTCAGAGGGGTAGTGGCAATGGGAGCTACTACGCGAGAGGTAAGGGTAATGGTCCCTCGCAAGGTGGACGCGGTTATCCCTTCAATGGCGAAAAGGTAGAGACCGAAGGCATTATCTGGCACACCCAGGGCTTGCAGATTGAAAGCCTTGGGAGGCTCTCAACATGTAGTATAGCTTGCGGAGCAAGAGGATAGATGCGGGTCTGTGCATTAAATGTGGTGATCCCAACCACATTATCCCCTTTTGTTTTGACGACAGACACCCAAAAGAGGACAGACAGTAGGAGTTGTAGTCGCTCCTACTAGACCTTCAGACTTAGACAGATGGGTAGAAGCGCACGCTGAACAAGCACCCTCTTAAAGGTCCCAATGGCAGAGACAAGTGTAGGCCCCCACCTAGCTAGTTGTCCGAAGGTCGCTTGTGCAAGGATCTCTCTAGGTGGTATCTCGTAAGCATCGGTTATGAGCTGATCACTCGTCGCCAAGCCTGGGCCGAAATGAAGAAGTCGAAGGGACAACTAATTATAGGAGACATAGAGATAAGTAGGGAACGAGTAGCTGCATTACGCGTAGCTATATTCGCCAAATCAGAATGCAAAAGTTGCGTCTCAACATGAAGGTGAAGAAGTTGAATGAGCCGATTGTGAGTAGGCTGGCCGACAATCGTGAAATGAGAGTTAAAGACTATCAAGGGGCTGAAGGCATACTTTTGGTTGGAGGGGAGGATAGGCTACCCTTTGACTTAATTTTAGGGACGGATTGTAGAAACGCTGTGTATGCCGACGTGAAGATGGGCAAGCATGAATGCCGGCTGCCCAGCCCAGAAGGTGGCAAGAAGAAGATGCGGGCTGTTCCATAAGTCCAATGTAGAGCCCGGTCTGCATGAGTGCCCCCGCATTCACTAGGCACATGGTCAATAGCGACCTGATCGACCAAGTATTCATAGCCTATGTTAGACTGGTTAGTGAGAACAAGGAGGAGAAGGTGACACCCCCCAATTGCAAAAATGTTAGAAGAGTACGCTGATGTAGGAGAGGCCCCGACTGGCATGGTAGAAAGGGGAATTAAGCACCGGATTGAGATAGAGCTCGGTAGCAAGACTAGTAAGGGCCCCATCTACTGAATGTCTCTCAAGGAACTCGATGAGCTGCGCGAGCAGCTAGATGAGTTGATAGAGAAGGGGTGGATTAAGCCAAGCTTGTCACCATACGACACACCGGTCTTAGTCGTGTCAAAGAAGGAAGACGAATTGCGCATGTGCATCGACTAAAGGGGACATAATGCGATCACAATTAAGAATGTTGAATCTTTGCCAAAGATCGATGATCTGTTGGATAGGGTGCAGGACTGCAAGTACTTTTCCAGATTGACTTGAAGTCGGGGTGCCATCAGATAGAGGTACAGCTCGAAGACCAGCTGAAGATGGCCTTTTGAACTCGCTATGGCCACTACGAGTTTGTGGTCATGTCGTTTGGTCTGACGAACACCGGTACTACCTTTCAAAGATGTATGAACGACCTCTTCACTGAGTCTTCAGGGAGTGGCGTGATAAGTTTTTAGTAAGACATTAGAAGAGCACCAGCAGCATTTGCGTTTAATTCTAGATAAGTTGCGTATGGCTAAGTTGAAACTGAACCCGAAGGAATGCGAATGGGCTAAGCGCCAAGTGTTGTACCGAGGGCTCGTGTTAGATGGAGATGGAGTCGGACGGGAAGACGCGAATGTAACAACAATTAGAGACTGGCCAGCATGGCACACGTTGAGGGAATTGCGGTCTTTCTTGGGATTGGCCAACTATTGCAGAAAGCTCGTTCGGAAAATCGAGTATCCGGTCTTAAAAATCGCAGACCCATCACTCCCATTCATCGTCACGACCATCGCAAGCCAATATGGAATTGGTGCTGTACTCCAACAAAATGATGGAAAGGGGTATAGGCCCGTAGAGTTCATGTCTTGTAGACTGCCTTGTGAGGAGGTCGCTGCCTCAACGAATGAGTGTGAGTTGTGTGCGCTTAGAGAGGCACTAAGTCACTGGCGACACTACCTCCTAGGAAGACATTTTATAACGTGTATTCGGATCACGAAACCCTGCGATGGCTGAAAATCCAGGCTTGGATGACACCTAAGTTGACTAGGTGGACTGGGGAGATCAATCGGTTCCACTTTGAGCTGAAATCAGTCAAGTGTAAGTACAATGTCGTCGTTGGTGCGCTGAGTAGACACGCGTACTTTTTCAGTGCTATGGTGACTTATCTCAGCGCTGGCACCGACCTGCGGCAGAAAATTAGAGTTGTGTATAATGATGATCCCGTATGTAGTGAGATGATTAAGAAGGTGCAGACTGCACCTCACGAGATCCCGGACTATAGGATGACTGATAGGCTATTGTTTGAAACGTCTGATAAATTTGATAGTTTGTGCGTTCCTAATAATGAAGAAGTCCGAAGTCTGATTCTAGGGGAATGTCACGATATTGAAGGACATTTTGGTTGGAGGAAGACTTATGCAAGTCTCCTCACTGTCCTATACGTGGGTAGGAATGAAGCATAACTGCTTCTCTGACATTCAAGGCTGCCAAGTGTGCCAACGGAACAAGAGTTCCACGTAGCCTCCCCTCAGACTACTGAAGCTTTTGCCTATCCCATCAGGTCCCGGCGACACAGACATTATGGACACTAAAGTTAGAAGTAGGAATGGAAAAAGTCAGATCATGGTCGTCGTCGATAGGTTTAGTAAATTCGCTGTTTTTATTTTACTTAGTCATCAGGGAGTTCTTCAACCATTGGGTTAAAGATAATGGACACCCCTTGACTATAGTCAGTGATAGGGACACAAAGTTTACAGGCGAGCATGGCAACAACTGACGAAGGTCTATGGGTCTAAGCTAGCAATGTCGTTGGGTACACACCCTGAGACCAATGGACAGACCGAACAAATGAATACGCTGCTACAGCAAGTGCTTCACATGTACATTAGACCAGACTAAGTAGAGTGGAGCGAGAACCTCCCCAAGGTCGTGCCTGCCTACAATAACTCTATATGTTTGGTTCATTGCGGACCCCCAACGAACTGCATAAAGGTTAGTGAACTTAGTGTCCTAGGAGACCGATTGACTGTCTAAACTCGGATCAGATCCAACGGTTACCTCCCGGCACACGTGAGTTTGTTATTCAGTACGAAAAAGATCTGTGAAGGGGGTTGCTGAGAACGTACGCAAGGCCCAACGTCAGATGATCAACCAGGCAAATGAGCACTGCCATGACGGCGCCGTCCTTTGCAGTTTGTGGTAGGTGACGTAGTCTGGGTCAAGTGTAAGAAGTTTATTCCGGAGGAAGGAATCTCGCAAAAGTTGCGCCTGCATACAGAAGGCCCTGGCAAATTCTAGATGTCAAAGCGAAAGCGGATGGCCCCTCCTATAGTGTTGAGATTCCGGCCCATCTGCATACTTACCCGGTCTTCCACGCGTCCAAATTACTTCTCTGTGTGTCTAATGACCAGTTTCCCTTTCATCGCTCGATGATTCCAACTGATATGGATGGTCGCTATGATTTCATAATTTGGATTGTTGTTGAAGACACCTTCTGCACTGGTCGCAGAGGGAGGCCCCAAAGGCAATACAAGGTTCAATCTGCTTACCAGGATCCCGCTGAAAATCTCTGGTTCACCAGGGATGAGTTGATTGAGATTACCCGTCATATTGTCGCTTACCATGAGAGGGCACGCAGAGGACTAAGCATCTACGATCACTAAAAGTGCGAACTTTTCTCGGAGGACCTCCAAATTAGGCCCGCGGGGGTGAAAGGATGAATGCTGCAGACATCCGGAGTCCCGGTTCCGTGGTCCCAAATTGTCTCAGTCCTATTTGGGCCCAGTCCCAGATGGTCCTGGTCCCAGGCTGTCCTAGGGTCCGTAGGTTGAAGCGTCAGAGAGGCCCATAGGTGTTTGTACTGAACCGTCGCAGGTTGTTAGAAGTCAGTCCGGTACCCAACAAGAAAAGTCCACTCCAGTCCCAAGTCCTATTTTTGCAGCATGTCCCAGGAAAGTCCGGAAGCAACCGGGCTGACCAAATGACTGCAGCAGACAGGCTGCGTCCGACCAGTACCGGCCTGAAGCAGGCCAAGCCACGTCCAGTTCTATACTTAGCTGCTACAGTGCAGCAGCTCATCACTTGCTCAGTTGCAAGATGCGGAAGCGCTGCTGCTGCTTGTGCGTTGAGGCGACTTGGTCACATCGCGCCTGGGGGAGGAAGAAGGCGCGCGAGATACTCCATAGCAAGGGTAGCGAAGTAGGAGTCAGGCGGCCATAGCCGCCAAGCTGTGCGCTTATCTGAGTGGGTGTATCCAGGGTTACGATCCAGGTCGAAGAGAGAGAGATACAAGCGAAGAGAGACAAGTGTGAGTGAGTGAGAGAGAGAGAGAGAGAGGGAGAGAGAGAGTAGAGCCATAGCTGGTGTACGAGTTGAGCGCAGAGTGTGTGCGCGGCAGGACCGCTGGTGACTTGGACGATTCCTTTGTACAAAAATAATATTTTGGTGACGGTTTCTTCATGCGTTGATTGTATCTCGGCTTGGCATCCCAAGTGTGGACTCTCATGTGAATGCTCTTTGTGTGTGTTTGCAAGGTTGAGCCCTGATTGGGAACCCGGATGATTGGAAAACAAATTATTCATGAACGTTATTTTATTACTATTATTATTCATTTATTTATTTATTTATTTATTTATTTATTTTCCGAACAAGATTACCAAGGGCCTGAGACCCATTGATGTACTAAGAAAGTTGCAATATCTGCAAAACTTGTGTGTGATCTGTGATTCAGAGAATTTCAGAGACATCCTGCAGGGAAATTTCTCCATGTTTCTGGTGAGCTGAACTTTTGGAACCTTTTACCTTATCGACAACTCGCCGCACACACAAGTTGCACACCACCAATCTCTGTACTACGTTTCCAAGAACGCTATGCCGCAGCTTATCCGCAGTGAGTTTGACAAGTGCGTGTACATATTTTTGAAGCACAACTTTCTGAAGGTCTCAAGTTTTCGGACGTTTCGAGTTTTCAAAGGTTTCAACTTTCAAGTTTTTTTAAAGGTTTTACCACCGTGACGACTCGACTTTCTTCGTTCTTATCGGAGTACGGAGATTGCAAGATCAGCAGTGTGTGTCACCAGAAAAAAAAAAAAAAAGAACTGTCTCTCTACTCAGTCTACTGGCTGGCCAGAAGTTTGTATTTTGGTGGATTTGAAGCAGAAGACAAGGTGGGTAAGCAGATGATCTAGTTCCGAAGTCGTAAATGGCAAAGTGCACAATTCAAGTCTGTCGATTTTGAGGCCGGATCGTTTGCATCTGGACGGCTGCTGGTTGGTTTATCCAGAGAGGGAAAGGACCTGTATCTAGGCAGGATGGTGACGTGGGTGGTATTCGATACATGAGGAAGAGGAGCATGCTTCTAACAAGGTAAAGGACCTGTACCTAGCCAGGATGGTGACGTGGGTGGTATTCGATACATGAGGAAGAGGAGCATGCTTCTAACGAGGCAAAGGAGACTGCAACGATACAAAAACGAAGACCAAGAATAGAAAGTAGAGGAGGAGGAGGAGGAGGAGGAGGAGGAAGAGGAGGAGGAGGAAGAGGCCAAGAAAGAAGCAGAAGGGGAGCAGAGGAGGAGCGGAGGTGGAGGAGGAAGACGTAGAGGGTGAGGGCGAACAGGACAGACGAGAGAAGGAAGGGGAGAGGAGAGATTTGTTTCAACGATTTGCATTCTGAGAAGCAGCACATCGACTTGCCAAATTGAGTCAGTTGCATCAAACACCGGCGGATTTGCGGAACATGTGTTATGTACCGCAGAGGACGCAGAGGAGAAAGAGGATAGGCAGTGAACGAAGAGAAGGAAGTGGAGGAGGAGGAGGAGGAGGAGGAGGAGGAGGAGGAGGAGGAGAGATTGTGTGTCAATTCGCTTTGCTCGACTCTATGTATTGGTTGGCCAACTGAATTCCTTGTTACTCCCATCGTCGGATTGGGCTTTCAGTTTTTGAGACGTGTGGCATGTGTCGCTCTCTTGAAGTTGTGGGTGAGCGGATGGTAATGTGTCTCCTGGCTTTGCTTAGAAGTTTGTGCAGAGCGAAAAAAAAGCCGGAGTCTACTGTCAGCCATACCGTCACCTCTGGGAACGAGTCGCTGGGAAAAGATGTGGCTGCTGTTGCCACACCGGATCTCCATGCCCATTTCGGCGGCGGCGGGAACAACGAACTGCTGAGCCCGTCGTCGATCAGCAGCGGCCCACAGAAATTCAAGCTCGCTGAACTGTCGCAATGGACAGACAACTTCAGCAAGCAACGCTTGTTGGGAGTCGGCGGCTTTGGAAAGGTGTTTGAGGCGCACATGCCAGGTGGGAGGAAGGGTGCAGTGAAGAGGGCGAAGCGTCAGTCTGAGCAGGGGAATGCTCAGTTCTTGGCCGAAGTCGAACTCCTGTCACAGGTCCATCACAAGAACCTGGTAAAGCTGCTCGGTTACTGCAATGAGGCCGGCGAGAAGATCCTTGTGTACGAGTATATGGCAAAAGGCACCTTACGGCGAAACCTCTCGCGGAAGCGCGAGCGACCTCTCGACTGGGTTGAGCGTCTCAACATCGCTATTGGCTCGGCGGCAGGGATTACATATCTTCACACTCATGTTCATCCGCCGATTATCCATCGTGACATCAAGTCTTCCAACATTCTGTTGGACGATAATTATGTCGCAAAAGTGGCAGATTTCGGACTTTGCCGACCGGCAACGACGGAGGGCTCTCGTGCCACAATCTCCGTGCGGGGTACCGTCGGTTACATGGATCCCGACTTCTGCGTCAGCAGTGAGGTGTCGGAGAAATCGGATGTCTATAGTTTTGGTGTTGTCCTTTTAGAAATCGTGACAGCGAAGAGCCCGACGTGGAAAGGCCAACACATCATCAATGAGATGAAGTCATGTTGCGCTAACAAACGAGTGTGCGACCTCATCGACCCCACTCTGACAGGGAAGTATCCTCGGCAGGCGATGGACGAGTACATTGAGCTTGCTCTCAGATGCACTGACTCATCGAGACGGCGCCCTAGCATGACGATTGTGTGGTCCACTCTAGAGATGATAAGGGACTCCGCACTGAGCACGCCGAGTGAGGAGGAGATGATGGATGATGCACAATCGTCCGGTTCCGTCAGCGGGCGGGCTAGTAGTCGGCCGATGGATGGGAGCAGCCCTTTCTTGATGCGCTGGCCATCGCAGGCAACATCCGTCCATAGGGCATCGTCGATGGGAAGAAGGTCGTCAACCATTTCGTCGGGGCTGTCAATGGAAGCGTGCTCCACGGGTGCATCTCCAGAGACCAAAGAATGTGCTGGCGAAACTCCGCTGCGGAAAAGGGAGCGAGCGCGGATGACGTTGGCAGTGGAAACCGATGGAGTGGACGACGATGGCTGTGAAGAGCCGCACTCACCTACCACTCTCATCCAGATGTTGACAGAGGTCTCCGCAAGATAGGTATGATTGAGAGTAAGCAGCATATGAGAAATAGTTAGTGATTAGCATGACTACCACCTTCTCCTCCTCCTCCTCCTCCTCCTCCTCCTCCTCTTCCTCCTCGTCCTCCTCCTCCTCCTCCTTCTCTTCCTCCAAGTCCTCCTACCCCGGAGACTCCTCATCTGCTGACCACCTGCATGCATGCCTAGACTTGCTTGGCGTGCATCGTTGCGAACATGTTTGCAACTGTGAAAGCCCCTCCACTCCCCTGTGTGTGGCTCTCGTGTGCGTTTTACCACGGAGATGGGTCGTAGGAGATAGCGGTGGTTGGAGCGTAGCGTCTTTTGTGAAAGAGGGAGGGCATGAGGCCGCAAAGCAGAGGGTCGTTGAGGAGAACGAGGATAATGGAGAGGCAGAAACGGCATCGACAGTATTGACAGCCAGGTCGTCAGGCTTTTGGCTACAGAAGCCATTTTTTGACCAGTCAATTTGATCGATTCGGTCAAAAAATATTATTCGAGCGTCTCGTCCAATTAAAAATCATGCAGCATAAGATTTTATATATACATACGATATATATTGTATATATATATATTTATATATAAAGTTATAAACTGTACGCAGAGAGGGAGAAGAGGACACGAACGAGCGGCTATGACAGACTGTTTCGTTGGAGTTTCACCTACTCATATATATACATGTTTGACGATATATATACATATATATATAGTTATGTGACAATATATATGTATATATGAGTCGGTGAAACTCCGACGAAACAGTTTGTCACAGGTCCTTGTTTGTTGTCCTCTTCTCCCTCTCTGCCTACGGTTTCCCGGGCAGCTCTGTTTGACTATATATAAGTATATATTTACATATGTATATGTATATGTATATATATATGCGGTGATGGCAGATTGTCACAGCCCCTTGTTTGTTGTCCTCTTCTCTCTCTCTGCCTACGGTTTACTGGGCAGTTCTGTTTGTGACGATATATATGCGGTGATGGCATGGTCAATCGCTTGTGAGCGAGCCGGTTAAACTGTCACTACCGTCTGGCCTGCTGAGTCAAACTGCCATCCATACTCGAAGGGCCTCGTTCCACTACGCTCCAAATGTCCAAAATGAGACCGAATTTTCCTCTAGAACATGGAAAGATACATTGCCAAGTTTTTTGTCTTTTGTGCATGTGGAGAGTAGTGTAGTGAGGCCCTCAAAGCCTCAATAACCCCTCTGGTGAAGCTTCCAATCCTCTGCTACCGCCTTCCCCCGAACACAACACACCCTAAAAATGAATGTATACAAGCTATATTTCTGGCCCGATACTGCCAAAATGAGGGTGCGTTGTGTTCGGCGGAAGAGGGTAGCCTGCTTTGCCAAACAAACAGGTCAGCCCACTCAGTCAGTATGACTGACAGCTGAGCCAAGTTTGTGTTTTGGGAATCGCCTCCCGACCGTTGCCCGACTCTCTTTTAGACTTTGAAAAACTTTCGATTGCTGTCCGAGTAATATGTGCGTAGAGTCTGGTCCCACTTCTTACAGGCGAGGCACGTTTTGGTAATTTTTTGGGGATCCCGGTTCTTTTTCCACGAGAGCCGGAGGTGGCCCTGTCTTTTTTTTTTGAAGAAGTGGGAACAGCCTAGTACGTGGCAGCGCGAGAGCGATTTGAGCTACTGGTAGTTCTTCCAAAAAAAAAAACAAAAAAAAAAAAGACGCCACCTCCGTACCCTGCGCCGTGAAAGAAGGTGCCCTTGTTTTTTTTCCCTTTCTTTTCAGTTTTCCTGATGTGCAGGCCGTTGCCGTTGGATCCTGGAGGTGCCACAAGATAGCACCGCTCAGTTAGGACTCAGGAGAGAGAAGTCCCACAGAAGTAGTAGGGCATGCGGGGTCGCGTTTTTCTGTTACCTATCCGTGCGCTGCGCCTCCACCTTTCGCGCGACACTTTGTTACGTTCTTTCGAAAGAAAAAAAAAGAAGAGGTGGGATAAAAAAAAATAAAAAAATAAAAAATATCCCTTGTCCAGATCGTGATTCCGACTCCGAAACGAATCGCAAGTTTCAAAGTCCAACATAGAGATATTGGGCCAGATCCCACTAGCCCCTATTGTTCATTTCTGACCGTTGATCTTCGTAATCGAGGGTGAGATTTGAATTATCCAGGGTAATGGGATCTGACCCATTGTCAAGAGGAGAGTCAGTCAACTGTCTGGATGCACTTGCACTTCCTAGAAAGCAAAGCCAAAAAGAGAGGTCTGTCTTCTGAATGCGGGCTATATTCCTGCCTTGATGCATTCATTAGGGGTTCTCAAGTGGCGGGATGGGCGAGAGCATCAGGAAAAATAAACGGGTGTGAGGTGGGTCGCCGAAGAGACGAGCGAGAAACAGTGTGAGGTGTCTCTTCTGAATGTGGGGTATATGCCTAGACACATTCATTGGAGTTCTGAATTGCCGAGCATCTGTCTGTGGGAGTGGGGGCAATAAATGTCAAGGAATGTAATATTATGTTATCCATATATATAGGCTCGAAGAATATTTTTTGACTGGTCTGTGCTTCACCGAATGCGGATTATGCATGGAGGGAGGGGTATTCGTGAAATGTCGATGGGTGTGAGTGTGGAAGCGAATGCGAGAGATTCTCTAGCCATGGTTAGGTAGGTAGGTAGGTATCTGCCGGGGTCAAGCCGCCGGTTGTGTGTTCGATTCTTGGATCGGACATACAGACAGACACAAGTGAATGGTTTGTGAGCCTGTTGGGTTAGGTTTCCACCTGGCAAGCCGTAGGTTGTGTGTTCGATTCTTGGGTCGGACATACACACACAAGCGAATGGTTTGTGAGCCTGTTGGTTACGGTTACAGATTTGCCTGGCAAGCTGTAGGTCGTGTTCGATTCTCGGATTGGACATACATACGCACACAAGCGAATGGTTTGTGGAGCAACGGTAAACGGCGTAAACGGTTGCTTCGGGCTTCTCCAAATGTGGGAACGCGTTGCGGGAGCGATCAGCAAGCCGATCGTGCTGGGATGGGTATGTATTCACACGAGGCAGGAAGAAAAGCATTTACGCTGCTGCAAATTCAAACCGCACGAGGCGCGAGAGAAATGTGGTTTCGGCTTAAAGAGAGAAACAGCAATGGCGAGCAATAAAATGATATCGATTGTGAACGTGTGATGTGACACCTGCGGATGGCATGCAGGTCAGAGACAACGACAAGTGACGGCGAAAAAATGAATCCATGATGACCAACCTCAAACGGATCATCTTGTATGCATGGTGGGACGACCGGCAGACTGCTGTTGTGCCTGCACGGATGGATAGTGATTGAACGGATCATCTTGTACGCATGGTGGGACGACTGGCAGACTGCTGCTGTGCCTGCAAGGATAGATAGTGATTAACGACAGAGAAAAAGGAGGAGCGAGATGACCGTATCAGTATGGCGTGTGTGCAACACTGACATTCGACGTGATAGTAGAGGAGTGGAGAGGGCTTGAGAGACTTGTGCATTTTAGGAAAGACTAGTGCATTTTAGGAAAGAAAGATTGCTAAGCCTGTTTGTCATCAAAGCCTACTGTCTTCCCCCGAACACAAAGCGCCCTCATTTTGCCTGCATCGGGCCGGAAAGATAGCTTGTGTACATTCGTTACATTCGTTATCAATGTGCATTGTGTTCGGGGGAAGATGTTAGCCTGCTTTGGTGTTCCAGCACTGTTGCCAGCCCTTTTTTTTTTTCCTTTTTTTTTTTTAATAAAGGTGAAGGCCCCAGGAAAATGACTCCTCTGCGAACTGATGGCCGGCCCCCGGTAAATTCAGAGTTACTTTCACTGCGGTGACTCCGCTGGGATTCGAACTCAGGTCTGCATTTCAACAGTTCAGTTCAGGGGTGTACCAGCTGAGCTCTACCTTCTTCCCCCGAATACAACGTACAGTCATTGTAGCTGTATTTGGGGTATCTTTCAGTCTAAATACTGTTATAATGACCGTACACTGTATTCAGGGGAAGAGGGTAGGCCTGTTGATTGCCATTCTGTAACTGCCTTTTAGCCGTTTTTGTCGTTTCTGTGATCTGGGTTCGTTCCCAAAAAGAAAAAAGAAAGAAAAAGGTGATTTCCGCCTACTTTGTAAACAAGGGTGGGGGAGATATTGCAGGGGGGTGCGGAGATGGGGGGGGGATATTGATTGAGGTTGCATAATAATCAGTGAGGTTCGTTGGTGCCGAGATGATGTTGGTGCTGTGAAGGTACTTCCCACCCATCCGCCACAGGCGATTTTTAGCTGCTGACATTTCCTCGTTGAATGTGAACTGACAGGCAGCAGTCAGGCCAGGACATCAACAACCTGGCCTCTGTATGGCCACAAGTTTAGGTTCGTCCCCACCGTACTCCCATCTTCACCCCGGTCGATATAGCTGTATTTGGTGCCAACTTCCAGCCCCCATACGGCCATGATTACCAGGCATTCTATTCGGGTGAAGACGTTAGTGGTTAATTGGTCAACCATAAAGAGCATAGTCTTGCCCTTAGACTCAAGGCAAGGGTGTTCTTTTCGGACCACAGGAGGACGCAGTGCGGTTAGGAAGCAGAACAGCTGAGGACAAAGATCGATGATGACATTTCCAATGTTTGACTTTCCTTCACTCTGTTTGACTTGCCTCGCCTGGTGTTTGACTTTCCTTCACTCTGTTTGACTTGCCTCGCCTGGTGTTTGACTTTCATCCCCCGCTGTTTGACTTGCCTCCCCTGCTGTTTGACTTGCCTCCCCTGCTGTTTGACTTGCATCTGTTTGACATTCCTGAGTTTGACTTCGCTAAGTTTGACTTTGCTGAGTTTGACTTGATAACAGAAGTCGCGTTGAGTGGTGTGCAGAGTATCCGTGAGGGGTCTGCAGAGTTGTGTCAGCAGTCGTCAGAGGAGGTCAGGACTGACATAACTGAGGCCATATGTGTCCAGACCCCATATGGCTTCGACAACCGCCGACATGCTCCGATGTCCTTGGACATGCTCTGACATTCTCTGACATTGACAGTGTCTGACAATGGCTGACATGCTCTTAAACCGCCAGTACACGGCCCTAACATTGCTGAAAATGTTTCGGAGCTATCACCAAGCGGGATTCTTCTTTCCGATGACAAGTACCTGCTGTAAATCAGCTTGGACCCTGGCGCCTACAACAAC